TCTCTCTCTCTCTCTCTCTCTCTCTGCATCATAGTAGAAGCTATAACTCTCCACCTGTGGGTAAAACTGCAAGGCTTGTCTTCAGCACAGGGAGCCTAAGTCTCCTCCCTTTCCGATCGGCTCATGGGTCCCCAGAAGAATGAAAAAATGAAGAGTTATCTCAGCCTTACGCCCTGGATCACACATGTGTTGTACTGCATTTTAAATGAAAAGTAATGATGGATGTTTCGACCACGCCAGTCACGTACTTTGAGATTCATCACCTTGTAAAAGTTTGTAATTAGCATGACTACAGACCAGAAATCGACACGTCGCATATGTGACATCACCACATAGTCTCCTCCCCCCTAGCGTAGCTGCTACTCACCATATGACCAGATTTATGTTGGTTCTTTCCTCCTGTGGGAAGTTTGCTGAACTTACAACCCTTTTCCCTCAGTTTTCTCTGTCTGTTTTGATTATGTCACTTTAGTGAGGCGCATTTGTAGTTCTGGACTTACTTTCACACAAAACCTAAAATAACGTCAGCCCCTGTTCGAAAATAAGCGCGTTCTTGGTATCAAAATGTGTCTTTAAAATTCACGGACATCATGTGTGAAATCCAGGGCACAAAACAAGTGCAAGTAGAAAATAGCATTTTTAGCCCCGCTGACTCGCATTCATTTTACTGTTCTTCTGAGGACATTTTAGCGTTCTTCTGAGGACCCATGGTCTGGAAGTAGATGGGCGAGACTTAGGCTCCCTATTCAGACATCAATTCTGATTGCTGCAGGCGGACAGGACATGGTAAAAAGAAAAAAGAGTAATGAGCAGGAGGTGTGGGGGCCGGTTTAGACTCTGTGTGAGAAAGCCTTTGATGCAGAAGTGCTACGCTGAACTGTATCATACGTAGTGGCCCCATTCCAATCCTCTCACAGCTTTTACTCTAGCTTACGTTCTGATTTCTGAGCTGTCTTTTGACCTACACACACATCCATTGAACATCTTTGAAGTTCTGAGCTGCTCGGTGAGGTATACAAAAGCACTTTGTTAGCAGTCCAGCTCTGGGTTTTGACCTTTGACAGTTGAACATTAGTGCTGGACTGCTGGGACTGGAACATTCCTCTACTGCTGTGATTTATTCAGATGGCCGTGAGACAAAGACATACTTGTTGCAGCTCAAAAGAAGCATCCTGTGAATAGCTGTATGTTGTTAAACTGCATCGAACTAGGATTTCAGCCTGTTTGGTCTTAAACCGTTTTCCAGGCAGATCAGAGTAACTTTCTGTAGTCTGGAAATAAAAAAACAACAAGCAACGATCTGTGGAGCGTCTTGTTAAGTTTGCTTTTAAAATGGCGTTTTTGGTCCTTTATACTCAGACGCTTTGGTTTGAATTTTCTTGCTGACAGTTTCGGCCTTTGTCAGAACCTCACGTGAGATGTTAATGGCTCTTCCGTCGCTGTTTATCTGTGGGCAGTAGAGCACAATGCCTCCCTAAGGAGCCCTGTCTGACTGGACTTCCGGTGGGCGGTACCGGAGAGCGGACAGCTGCAACAGGTCACCTTGGGTAGCTCTTGCCATCGACTATGCTGGTTTGTTCCCAGGTTTTAGCTTCTTGGTGTTGTGGTCTCTTGATTGACTCTTTGTTTTGCACACACTCAGGTATTCTGCTCTCCAAACATTCCTCCCGTGCCATACTACATTCAGATTTAAACCACAGGCCGTGTCTCATCCTCTCCACGGACCGACCTGCACTTCCTTTGCTCACCCACCTGGATCATCTGGACTCTAGCTGTCTAACTCTGATCTCGCCAACCCCTGGACCCGACCACAGACCTGATACCCCCTGCTGTCATTCCCTGTCTCAGCCTTCTGCAGTAAGCTTGACCCATTAATCTTTTGACTCACGACTAGCAGCCTGAGATTTATAAAGACGCTGCATGGAACTGCAGTCCTGCCCACTGACCTTTAGTTAACCTTTCATAATAAATTCTGTTTTGTACTCCTTACTTGTTGTCCTGTGAGTGATTCTGCATGTCTTGGGTTAGGCCCCTTCCACTGCATTCTGCTCTGAAGTTACTGAGCCATAAATATCCTGCCAGCTCCCCGTGTCACCTTTACCTTCTCCTCGGGGAGAACGGTCATCATTGATGCTAACCCTAAATGACCAGGACGGAGGTACGGTAGTGTTGCAGTAATGGTGTTATCATGATACTATTAGTTAGTTTTAGGACAATCTAAGCCCATTTCTTAATATTGTTATGTTTGTGAAGCATTAAAGCATGAGACACAATGATATTTAGGATCATTTCAGTGTTTTGGAATATTTTGGGATGTTTTCTAGTTTTGTGTTCTGAAAATTTGATGTTTCATTATAACTCCTTATAATCATAATAATCCATCCATCCGTTATCTGAACTTGATTTTCCACACAGGGTCGCTCGCGGGGGGCTGTTGCCCATCTCCAGCAGTCAACGGGCATACGTGCAGGGTGCACCCTGGGCAGGTTGCCAGTGCTGC